TTCAAAATGGCATACTACACTACATCCAAATAAGCAGATTAAAAAATTATAACACTGAAAGCGTGATAAGATATAGGAAATGTTAATAGCCCAGGGCAGAAGGGGAGATACCACAACTGTTTAGCAGACGTTTGGTCAAATGATCGGCTTTACTTGTCTCTTTAACGAGTTGTTGTGTGATGCTAAGAATGGCAAGACTCATTGACGATGCCAACTATGATGCCGGCGGAACGACTGGAAATGTACCACGTCAACAGTCCTACTTTGGAAATGATCATGCATACAATGGACTCCGGACTAGGCGCGTTCCTGTAAGTCTTTCTACCAATATTACCAAGTTGCGAAAACAAGATCAAACTACCTCTTTAAAATACTTATACTTATATACTATGAGTATGTGAAGTAGCTAGTATGCGCAGGTGTTTTTGGTCAAGTATCCAACATTTTATGGACAGGAATTTACATATAACGCTTAGCAATATAAGCGATCAATCAACGTTGATTTAATTCAGTTGTTGCTAGCTGGAACCACGTTATTTAATGTTTACCGATGAGATCTATTTCCTAGAATATTTGATGCATCCAGGGCCATCAGACGTTTTTTTATAGTGTGTGGACAGCTGTTAAGGCATTAATAGGCTAAATCAACTCCATTTGAAGGATTAGAACGTAAAATTCAGCAAAGAAAATTAGCGAGTAAGAAATTCTTAAATAGACAAATAAGTTTCAAATATCCTCAATCTAATACCAAAATGACCGAAATTTCCTGGCACTATAATTCATAACATATTTCCAGTTTTATGAAATAAAATGAGTGCCGGAAACAGTAGAGGGAACGATAAAGAAGGTTAAACATAAATGAATCGGAGAACTCTTTCAAATATTTTACTTAGGTAATCTTAAACTTCAAACTGTTCTTCTTATTCTTTCTAGAAATCGTCGAATTTACCAGTGCAAATGATAATTCGTGACACTAGTCATAAAGAATTACGAAAATGGATACAGATAATGATGCAAGAGCAAATCTAGGATGTAAAATAATAAATACAGAGAAGGTAGGATGTAGCGAATAGGGAAAGGCAATTAAAGTATGCATACCTGAGTATCTTTTTGAGGTAGCTGTCCATAAAATGTTTCATAAAGAGAGTGTCACTGTTAAAAGGTCGGCACTGCTCTACCAGTATCACACAGTCCACAGGACATCGCTTAGCTGCATAGCGACGGACAATGCGCAAGAATCTGTCTCGATGGCGAGCCGCCATACATACTGCCGCTGCAGCAGCTGCAGATGGTGCCTTTGGAGACGTCTTCTGTCCACTTAAGTGGGATGGAGAACTGGATTCGGATGGTAAGGCAAGGGAGGCAGCGATTGTATCTGTGACGGGGCCTGTGAGAGTTATGTTTCCTATGAGATTGGTTTCACTTTTCCCTTGAACAATATGTGTGGTTGCTCTAGCACCCTCTATTGGCACATCTGTTAATGGCGTAGAAAACCCGCCAGTCGAGGTTGGTTGTAGTAGCGGAAGGCCAGAAGATTTACTAACACCTGAGTTCCCGTTGTGCAATGCTAGGCACTCTACGGTAGGAAGTTGTGGCACTCGATTTTCGTTATTTAAGGCAACAGCAGATACTTCGGTCTCGGTTTCCTTTAATGATGAAACGACTGGCTGTCCAAAGGAGAGCCGAAGGCGTTTAGAAGTCTGTGCTTGATCCATTGACCCCTCATCTACTAGTCCTATCATTATCTCTTTGTTATTCTCACGTCTAGAGTCAACAAGATTCTGTAGTGTCGACACTGGCATATCCTCTTGGCAGAGACGTAGATCAGTGGATCGGTGCTTAGATGCCAGAGAAAAAGTTCCGCATGGCATCACTGCATCTATCCAGGCGGAAGAGCACGAAAGGCTTGGTGAAATCGTCATCGCATCCTCTGCTTCCTTCATCTTAGTGCTCAGACCAACCGAAAGAGAACTTTCTGTCTCCGTTGGATTTCCGGACCCATCTGTCTGAGGAGCTGGAATGGAAGCTGTGGCAGAACTAGATGAAGATGAAGACAAATAAGGGGCTGTAAGCCCGACTCTCGGTTGTAGTGTAGAGTTTGTTATGGAGCCATTGGGTGCTGTAGAGTTACGGATAGGTGTAACAGAAATAGAAGCTGAATTCCTGTGACCAACCGAAGTAGTGCTGGGCTTACGAGACATGCCATGGAGAGTGATTTGCAAACCGCCGGCGTCGAGTGGTGCCGAAGAAGGACGCGGTTGAGACAATGAACTAATAAGAATAATAGAACAAAGAGTATATAAGCAGTGTAGGGATTGTCGTCAGAGCCATGCGAGAATAGAACGTATACATCTCATACTTATACATAGGTTATGGATTAAAGAGTCTAAAAAGTGATGAGACAAAATTCAGTTTAAAAGCAAACTTTCAATCATACTAATGGGCTGATTATAAGAATAAGAGAACTCTTAAAGCAAAATATTGCATTTAAGCTAGGTTGAGAGAATCTAGGTCACGCATACATGTAACATTTACGTATAGCTGCTAAAAAAGAATCTCAAGTGATGCATGAATATGTTTAATCATATAGGTTCAAAGTCAATTCCAGTTCACAGTCCTGAGGGAAGCAAAGATGCGCAATCATTCTTAGTCAATGCATTGAACAAAAGCCCAGATTTCCAAATAGACCCTTAAGTAAAAGACTGTATCAAACTAATTAATTAAAAAATTGTGGCTAAATAACACTCTAAAGGGCTGAAATAGATCATTTTATAAACAGGCTTGCTAAAATCATTGCCTGATGCGTGCTCAATTGCACAGAAATGGGTATACTTGCTACACTATCAACGATTCTAATAAAAGGTATGAAGACCAAGATGGTGTGGCCTTTTGTGTGGTCGCAGTCTCCTTTCGTTGTATAGAGGATGTTTGACCTTGTTTTCGCAACTTGGTCATATTGGTAGGAAGACTCAGAGGAACGCAACTAGTCCGGAGTCCATTGTATGCATCATTATTTCCAGAGTAGGACTGTGGACGTGGTACATTCTTAGT